GGAACCCTCAAGACCGATAGCGCGATAAGCGTGCACGAATGTCATCCCCAGCCCCCAACTACAAACGGCGCGGCAGATCCCCCGATGGGCGAGCAGAACTGTAAGCAGATCGAGGCCCAAGATCAAGATCGTAAGTTTTGCGATGAATCAGGGCGAGGACCCGGATCAGCTGAATCCCCTGGCTCTCATTTCAGTCGTTCCCACCTATGTTCCTGGTCCTGTGTATGTTCCTCCCAATGGTATGAAGATCGCCACCAGAATGACAAACCGCACCAAGGTCCCCAAGGTTCCAACGGTTCACCGGTTCCCCCAGTAGTTTCATCATCATCATCATCATCATCATCATCATCATCATCATCATCCTAGTAGTAGTCACCACCTTCATGCGTCTCCTAGTGGTAGTCGCGTCATCTTTCTCACCCGCAGGCTGGTAATCATGACCCGAGTGATTTCCCTGACTCGCATGCGTGTGGTAGTGGTTTCCAGTGTGTTCATTCTAGTGGTGTAAATGTTTGGTCGGTATTCAGTCGGCGGACATTGCTAGCATTCTACTGCCATCCCTTGTCACCTTTGTACGTTTGCAGTAGTAAGATAGCAGTACTAGGCAGCTAAAATTTTCGCACTCGTTTAACAATCTGAAGAATGGCAGGAGACGACACCGGTGGAGGAGACCCGCCAGCCCCACCGAGTACCGAAACAATGGCACCCCCTAGGCCAATTGTTCTGCCCGAGATTACGCAGAAGGAAGAGCGGCGCGCTTGGTTGGAGCATGCATGTGCTAACGGTGGCGGACACACACGGCCCGGACACCTTGTCGACCAAGATCCAGCAAGATCTGGCTAAAAGTAGAGTGGAGCTTGGCCGAGCGCAACACCCTACGACGACTCGCAGCGGGCCTGCCAGGCGCCGTTCGAGGTAAACAGCTACAAGCTGCCACGACCACCAACCCAGGCGAAAGCCGCACGCTTATGACAAAGCTGAAGAAACTGCATAAGTGACGCACAGAGGCAACCGAACACGCACGCATGAGCAGCATTGAGTCTGTGGTAGACTCGGCGAAGCAACCGGGCGAAACAGTCGACGCATTCATCGACAGGAAGGAGGCCGCCCTGCATAATGAACTCGGTGGCAAAGTAGACGCGCGCGAACTTCTACGCTTCGGGATCTTCTACCGCCTAGAAGATCCTCCGTCCTCTCAAATGATCCCTCATGTTATTGGTGGACCGAAAAGAACAGAAGAACCAAGGGCCTACGCTCGAGAATACGAAGAGAGTTGCCGGCTGCAGGGCGAAGACGACAGTCACGCAAAGACGTCACCCGCCGGCACAACGACCAACAGCAAGAAGGTCCAACAACAAGAAGAAGCCGGCGGCGCTTACTTTTGTGCCAAGGGCTGAGCTGAAAAGTTTGGTGCTTGGTGCTATCAATACTCAGCCACAGAAGCAAAACCGGAAGGCTTTGCTTTCTGGTGGTAATCCTTGGCAGATACGTAAGCCCTTTGAGAAGAAGAAAAGCAAAGGTAAAGGAAAACACGGCAAAGACAACAACACATCGACCGGAGGATGGGTAGAACCAGCGCAGCGAGTTTGTCACTTGTGTGGCAAAAAGGGGCACACGCGCGCAGCATGTCCTCAGGCGGGAGGAAAGAAGTGAGCAACTTCTTTCCTGGAGCAAAAAGAGACGACGAAAATCTTGGTAAAGGCGCTGCTTTAGGCAGTGCTGAACAAGAAGGCCAAAGAGGAGAAGACCTTGGCAAAGAGGAGGAAGAAAAAGAAGAAGAAGAAGAAGAAGAAGAAGAAAGAAAGACAGAGGAACACGACGAAACAGCGGCGCTGAGAAGATAGAAGGCTCGCCTTAGCTTGCATTTGGATGAGTATTATCCTACATCCAAAGAACAACAAAAGAAGACCACAGCTAAGCATTTGCAACAAGAAAGCCAAGTAAATAATTTGCATTCAGACCATAAAGACAACAACTTACGTAACTGGCAACCAGAACAAAAAAAAGGAGCGAGCTTGTGCTCGGTTTTCAGCGGCACCCAAGAACGAGGTGACCGGGCATCCACTTCAGAAGAAAAGAAGGCGGATGGCGCTGCTGCTGTCACGAACGAAACAACAGCAGCAGCGTATACATCGGCCCTGCATTCATATTCAGGACGATGGTAAAGAAGAAAAACAACAACAACAAAACAAAGGAGATTCCGCACCGTTTTCAAAGAGTAAAGATTTTCGTCTGCGTTTAAGTGATGAGGTAGATTATAGTAAGCGCAACGATGATGGTTGCAAGGTGAGAGGCTCAAGAAATGGATCCCCGAAAGTTTCCGAAAAGTTCCGGAAATTCATTTCAGACATTTCCTAACAGAAAACAAAAAGGGCAGCAAGGTTCTCATTGGTGTTGTTCTCTCCCTTCATTTTTTCTCTTTTGGTTTCCCCTTATGTTCAGCTGGTTCGTTGTTGTTCGTTTTGTTTTGCTTGTACCTAGGTAGCTGTGAGTGTCTGTGGTGTCCCTGCCTTCCTCTGTCTGACTGACAGGCTGGCACTCTGGTTGGATGTCTGTCAGTCTGTCTGTCAGTCTGTCAGTGCGTCCCCCTCAGTCGGTCTCTCTCTGTCTCCCTCTGTCTCTGTCGCTGTGTCTTCTCTCTCTCACTGACAGTCAGACCCTGCTTCTCTCATTCATTGACTCACTCTGTGCTTCCCCCTCCCTCGGGGTTTCTCACTCTGTCCGTCTCTCTCACTCTGTCAGTCTGGCAGGTTGTCTCCGTCTCTCGCTCTGTCTCAGCTCTCGCTCTCTCTCTCAGCTCTCTCTCACTCTGTCTCCCCCTCTCCCTCCTTCTGTCTCTCTCTCACTCTCTCTGTCTCTCACTCGGTCTCTCACTCTGTGTGCGCCGTGCTCCGTCCTCCCTCGTGTGTGTGTCCATGCGTGCGCCCATGCTTCCTTCCTTGCATGCATGACATACTTACATACTTACGTGCGCAGCTGACTGCCTGCCATGCATGGCGTGCGTGGATTGATGGACGCGTGGACGCATTTTTTTAACGATACTCATATAGTACCTACTACACACGAACAAAGTAAGAAAGCTCTGCTAGTAAGTGAAGTTCGATGGTGCGCGCGTGTGTGTGGGGGTGTGCGTGATGGATGCCCTTTTAGTTTTTTCATTCTGGCCAAGCAAAACTTTTGAAAAGAGCCTGCCAGAGGCCATGGGATATGAATGCTTATAGTCGACGGATCCGATCGACGCACGGCGACGCTTGCGCCAGAGTGAGACTGACCGAACAGGCAGACAGACTATGTATCAATCTAACAAAGTTACGCACGTACTTACATAGTAGCTCTGTATCTATCATGAATGAGCTAGGAACGGCGCCGAAATCTGGCCAAAAGAAAAAGGCCACAAAGGAGTATTTGTATATACTCACGGCCGGCGGCCTAGTCAAAGTCGACACCTGAGTGACAGACGCCAGGAGTGTAGAGAGTAAGAGGGAAAAGGTCGCCAGATTTTGTTAAAGTGCGGGTCCTTCCTCCGCCGGTTTTTCTGGCTGGACTTTTTTGCAGAATTTTGTCGAAAAAAAACAAAAAAAGGGTCCCAGTTTTCAGCCTTCCGGTAATCTCCGGAAATTTCCGAAAAATTATTCAGCATTTCGACCGCTCCGGAAATTTCCGAAAATCCGGAAAGTTCCGAAAGGTTCCGAAAACTGCCGAAAAGTCCGGAAATTTCCGGAAATATTTCCGGAGCTTTTCGGTGATTTTCGGAAATTTTCGGAACTTTCCGGATTTTCGGAAATTTCCAGAAGCGGTCGAAACGCTGAATAATTTTTCGGAAATTTCCGGAGATTACCGGAAGGCGGAAAACTTTTCGGAAATTTCTGGAAACTTTGGAAGCAAATGAAGTCAGTGGCAGCCTAACACCGCCGGCAAGCTGCTAGCCTGCCACACCCTGACCAGCAGAACTATCCAGACTCTAACAAATCCACGCCAGCCCGCTCGTCCTGCCTGGGGTGCGTGCCTTCGTGTTGGTTTGTGCTCGCGCGCTGTATTGTAGGTAAGTATGGCGCGCGCAGAGGAAGACAACACAACGCGCACCCACCTACCTAGGTCGCCTCACATAGAGCCTACCAACTTGCTTCCATAGATACTTAGTCTGTTTGTTAGATAGTTCCCTCACTACGCTGGGACGACTCACTCTGACACATCCATCGACAGACTGAGTGTCAGGAAACACCCGCACGCACTACGTCATACACCCACGCATAGGCAGCCTGAGTGACGGCTCCGCTCACCGAACCGCGCGCGCGTCGCTCGATCCTTCCCTCGAGCGACCCACGCACGGAGGGACGCCCCGACAGTCAGAGAGAGCACACGGGCAGCCCGTCACTCAGTCTGAGTCTGTCAGTCAGTGTGTGAGTCACGCAACCACGCAACCATCCAAGCGACGCCATGTCATCCATGCATGGATGCAACTCACTCCCACTCTCAACGAACCAAGCATCCCCGGCGGGCGGGCACACAGGCAGACTACTCTAGACAAGACAGAGAGAAACCTACCCAACCCAGGCACGCAGGCCGGCGACGGGCAGCGACTTACCCGCGCACTCTGCTCCCCCCCCCGCGTCCAATCTCAGCCGGAGGCGGCCCCGCCGTCTTCCTTGCTAAAATCATGCTAAATTTCGGGCGAAACCCAACAGGGGAGAGGCACACAACAGCAAGAACCGCAAGGCAAAAGAACACCAGCACACCCGCAGCGCAAATGACTACACAACGCGGGTGCCGCAGACCACCACGAGAAACACCAGCAACACACAGGAAACCCCCACGGCAGCAGCACGGCGAAGTCGAACGAAACACGCAAAGGCGCGAAGGGCATCAGGCTGGCGTCTATGGGCACAGGCTCCAAAAGAGTGAGAAGAAGCACGCCGGCTTCCACTCTTTCGTAGGTCGCTGCGATTCCACCCGGGACTTCGTTCCGAACACATGCCCGGATGCTGCAGCTGAGTCTTTTTCTTCCTTGTTAGTTGTGGGTAGTGATTATTTTTCTACAAAAAGAAGCACACTGTTTGAGTTGTTAGCAGGATGTTACGAGCCTGCTGCCCGGAGAAGATTCAAAGACGAACGTCTATGTTTCTGCTCATTCGCATCATCAGTGGAGGGATGAGGACAACGGGACGCAAGGGAATCTACCAAGACAATTAAATAACATGATGACTAAGTATATCGATCAAAAATGAAGAAAATTTTTACAAACTTATATAAGAGCGATTATCGAGTCGGGGTAGAGCATCGTCAAGAAGTCGCCCGCAGGCGAAAAGATGGGTTCTCGGTTGACGTGGATGCTTCGGTGTCATCGGAGTCATCTCCAGACACCAGCCGGCCACACTGCTCCAGACGTGTCGCCAAATGGTCAAAACTGGTAGGTTCAAAAAGTTCCCAAAAGACGCAGAGGGCGTTTACTTCGTGCCCTTGACTGCGTTCACAAGGCCGCGGTTCTTGGCGGCTTGCATCGCCAGCTTCTCCGCGGATGCAGCCATAGCCGTGGTAAACTTGCCAACAATTTCGCGATGCTTGATGTCCATAGCCTCGTTAAAAAAAACCACACCAAATTTCAGCTTTTTCTGCAACGTCTCGGCGGCAGTAACAACTGGAAAGTGAGGGTAGCGAAAAGCATTATAGAGTGAGAGACGAGAGGTCACACGAAAACGAAACACGATAGAACTCAAAAAATAATCCCAAAACCTGCGAGAGAAATCGAAGACACCAAAAAACTAGTCCCGTAGAGAAGATACCACGATAGTCGAAATCAGAACACTGCCTGCAATAGCCTATAGGGAATGCCTAGAAATATAAGTACCTTAAACAGAATAAGAATTTATAAAAATAGCACCTGCTTCAGCCGCTCCACCTTGGGCGATCGAGTCGACCAACTGGCCGAGCTTGTTCAAGATGGCAGCCGCGTTAGTATCTTTCATGCCATACTTGGCAGCAACACGGTGCGCAAAATCGACACACACTTTGTCGTCGTCATTGCCTTCCATCTGGCCCAGGCGGATGGTCTGCATACGTTGACGCACCGTCGAAGTGAAGAAGTCCTGCATCTTGCGGGCAGCGACGTCCCACTTGCCACCAAAAACCCATCCAGCGGGAATGCGGAACTCATCATCTGCAGCCTTCAACGTGCTCAGTTGCTCACCGTTCAGTTTGTCCGTAGCTTGCTCCAACGAGACGATCTCCGACTGCAACTCGGGAGAGGCGAGGCGGCGCATCTCAGTGAGTAAGCGAAACCTGGAAGAGAGGAGTTGTTGCTAGATTAATCAAGAGACGAAAATGAAAATAAAACCATAAAGACCCCACCGTTAGATAAGAAGACTGCTAAAGCCTAGCACGGTCTAAAATCTCGCCACTGTTACAATCGTGAAGAGCTCTCAAAAACAACAAAAACTACGACACCTAGCCACGGAATCACGAAAGAAAGAGAGATGATAAATTTTCTAGTACTTGGTGACATCGACCGGGAGGATGTTGGACAAGATGCGCTTGCCATCCTCACGGGCGAAGCGAACGTTTTGAAAGGCCACGATTGGCATCAACAGGCTCGGCATCATGTTGGCGCCCTCGATGCTCTTCTTGTTCAAAAACGTATCCGCCATGCAATCGAAGTGAAAACGCACACCATGATCGCGAACACTCAGCATCAGAGTCGCATAAAAAGTCGCCGCGTTACCGTTGGAGCGAGCAGCGTCCAACTCCTTCGCCAAGCCAGCGTTGATTTCCTTGACCTGTTCGTCGGTCAGCGTCTTCTTCTCACGCACCGCGATTCCGATCGGTTTCAGCAGCTGTTGTGCGATGGGTTGATAGCAATGATGAAGCAAGAAAAGAGCAGAGATTTTGACCGAAAGAACATGCTAGAAAAGCAAAGGAGGTAGAGTTATAGAATTGACGACGCAACGAATGCAGGAGAATCACGAGTAGGCACTGCACAGAAACAACGGTAACAACTAGCGAAGACATAAATTCCAGCTGCTCTCAAAAAAGTAATACATTGGCGATCTTCTGGCGCGCATCCACCTCGGCGGCCTTGGCACGGATGACATCGGCATAATTCTGGAAAATGCACTCGATTTCAACTTGGTCCAACATATCACGCACCTCCATATATTCAACACCGACCAAGCGCAGAGTCTTGCTCTGGATGTGCTTGTCCAAGAAGTTGGCGCAGCGAATGGTGTGCGGCGCGCAAAGGTTCAGCTCGTCTGTGAAGCTGAAACGTTTCGAAAACGATAGAAAAGAAGCACATGAAAAAGTTAATAAAGGCAGAGCCTGTCTCTCTCTCTATGAAACGACAGATCTACAACATGACTGCAATACGCGATAGCCTGACTATGGAAATGAATGCAAGCCGTCATCTTTCATCAACTACAAGTTCTAAAATTAGTACCGATAGACGAAGTCCATCATCGTGTAGCCCTGCGCGGCACGCGTAGTGAGCATCTTGCACAAAGCAGCCGAAAGCTTCTCATACTCCTCGGCGAACGGGTAAACACCTGCGATAAAGAAATGGCGATGAGTATAAATATAAACGACAGAGAGATAACCCGAAATGAATTTGATGGGGGAGAGATCTTCCTCGCACATAGGCAAAACTTTAAAAATCGACTGAAGCAGAAACCCCTCATCAGGACCCATCTACAAAAACGACGATAAAATAAAGATACGGCCTCCAAGATGAGCCACCGAGAACACAGCGCGGAGCAACTCGGTGTTTCCCACGGTGTCACGCTTCTTGATGATCGCCAATAGTCCACGACTGGCATCCCAGTCACCAACTTCGTTTGTCGTGAGAGGTGCACGAAGGTCAGCTTTGGTGAGATCAGCAGCAGCTTCCAGTTGGTCAGCGGTGTCGGAAATCATAGCGGCGCTGCACTGATTCAGAAGAGCCTGTGTGGTCGGCGACAAATCACCAAACTGTGAGTCATCACTCGGAGGGTCTCCACCACCAAGAACAGATGCACCGAAGTCAAGTCCTTGCACAAGACCAGCAGGACCAGACGGCTTATCAGTGCTCGACGAGGAGGGATTACCAGAACCAGTAGCACCAGCGGCAGAAGCAGAAGAAGAAGAGCTACTAGAGGTTGTAGTGGTCGTCTTCTTAGAATCTTTCTTCTTCGGAGAATCGTCGTCCATCCAATCACCGTCACGCAAATCCCTCTGAGCCTGTTCCTCCATCTCACGCAAAGCTTCAGCATGAAGCCACAAGAATTTCGCCAACTCCTGCACCTGCGAATCTGCGTTCTCCGTTCCGAACACAAGGGCCACAGACTCCCGAACAGTCTCACCGTACTTAATGGCCTGGCTCTTAGTGTCCTGCTGGATGGCTTCAAGGACAGTCTCCCAAATCTTGTCCTTGAAGGTCAAGTTCTTGAAGGTCTGGCGCTTCTTTCCGATGTTCTTCTCCAGGTACTGGGATGGCGTCAAGAGCTCGCCAGGCTTGTTCTTGTCAGCGATCAGCGGCTTCTTCAGCTGCTCCGTGCTGACGCGCCAGTTCTTGCCATTTCGGTTTTTATTCTTGAGCGCCTCCCAGACGGCTTTCTCCTTAGCCTCTTGGTCAGCGTTGGTCAACTCCTTCTCAACACGCATACGGGCAGAATTGCGCACCTTTTCTTGCTTGTTCACCTTCGAAACATCCACCAGCAGCTCCGCGCCGGCGGCCTGTGGGTGATGTTGAGAGTGATTGATAAAATTTGAAGGGAAGACTTGAGTAAGAAGAAGATCGCGAGAAGATTTGAGAAAGAAGAAGAGCATGAAACTACTAGAAGCGAGTACATTTTCGGAAGGAAATATAATTGCTCCAGTTTACTACTTTTCTGGGACAGGAGCGAAAATGTAAAAAAAGGCTAGAGCTCAGATGTATGCTAATTTTGAACTGCTAAATTTCTAATGCTAAATGGAATGCTAATTTTTTTTGCTAAATTTCGCGCTAAATGCGATGCTAGTTCTGTCGTGCTAAATGAAGTGCTAATTTGAAATGCTAAACCTAGTGCTAAATACGATGCTAAATTTTTCCTGCTAAATGAAATGCTAAACGAAATGCTAAATGAAATGCTAAAAAATGAGTAAAGTCATGCGGTTTTGCGACTTCCTCTGGATGCTAAAAAAGTGGCGCCGTTGAAAACATAGGCGAAACCGCACTACATTTTCACGACGGGTCGATTTAGCACAAAATTTAGCACCAAAAGGGCCTCGCGCTACCACACGATTTACCACAAAATTTACCACAAAAAAGGATGGAAGAGAAGTGGGCTGCTGAATTGAAATAAGAACAGACGAGAGATACCTGGGCCCCAGCGTCCACGGGCTCCGCGGCGTTTCCGTTGGCGTCGGCCATCGACTCTTCTCCAAGGCCCAAGTTGGGGATGTTCGGCAAGTTCCCTTCATCTTTCGGAGGGGTCTCAGACAGTCCCGCCGCTTCGCGGTCGCGCTTGGTGCCAGCCGGGGTAGCACCTCCGTTGACGTCAGACATCTTCGTGTAGTACTAAGTTGGTATCTAGTACCGTACTCGTCGGGATTAGATCTCTTCTTTTCTCTCGATGCTAGAAAAAAACCACCAGAAGGGCAAAGCTGTGAAGAAGATGCACATCACTTCGGTCTGCAGTCAAATCCAAGCACCACCGTCACCACCATACATTTGGACCTTACCCAGAACGATGATCTTCAGCAAAAATAATCAACATCGAGCTTGGTCGTGTCTCACTACTGCCCAGCAAAGTCTTCCACCTATCCGCAGAACACAAGATAAACCTTGAAAAGCTTCTCCAGCAAGTGATAGCCATGCCATCACAATCTCCACCATGACAGAACGATCTTCCAGTTAAAGGCTAAGCGGATCACGAAAATGGGCAGTCTTCGCCAACAGCTCGAACTTGTCAAACATCTCGCTTCTCCTCACCTTGAAGAGCTCGCCTTTAGCTTCTAGGAAGCCACGGTCTAGAGTCATTCCTTGACCATGTCCGTCACGATACTCAGCTCGTAGCTCAAGGGTGCGAGCTGTGGGCAAGATCTCAGCGTCAAACTTCTCGAGACCATGCTTCTCACAAAACTTCAGTACCTGTCGAACAAGAAGACAATGGCGTCGCGCTCGATCCGCCGACCCCCATAGACTGATAGAGCAGTCACGCGACCCCGGCAAGCCCAGAGCCTTGAACTTCGCCCGTAGCGTCTTGCTCACGACTTCGCACCGCCAGACATCGACTGCCACATTCTTGTTGATGAGCGTCCACCCTCCACCCCGTGGGAAACATCGAGTCTCTGGGTCTGTTAGGGGATCGCGCTCGTCCTCCTCGCTGTCCTCCTCGTCATCATTCGCTTCTTGCTGTCCCCTCACATCGTCACGAGCTGCTTGTAAATGTGCACGCGCCTCCCGCCTGAGCTCTTCGTAGTTCTCATGTGCGCGCACGTTGTTCAAAGCGCCATTTGCATCTAGATCACGCGCTTGGGAAATGTTCGCGCGGATTTGTTTCACCCGGCGATTCGTTTCTGCCTTGTTCGTTGCGAGCCGCTCTATTCCTCACCATCACGGTGCCAGTGGTTAGCTTCTGAATGCTCCGCTGCATCCGTACAGACGCCGCAGTTAAAAGGAAATCCACACACAAGCAGGCTACTGAAACACTACTCACGGCGTCCGGCGGTAAATAGAAAACTTCCACTGCACCATCCCACAACGTGAAAAGCGTATACTCCGACGTCTTCCACAGCTCCGCTGTGCAATTCGCTGCGTTTCGCCGAATAAACAACTTCACACCAGCAACGTCGTAAGGGTTCAAGACGACGCTGGTGATCTGGAAAGCCTCCAGCTCACCGCACAAATGAAACTCCCCTGCCTGCGGCCTTCGAAGGATCAATAGTCCACCACGAACAGCAACGCCACTTGCTTGTTGACGAGCTAAATGCGTCACCCGGTAGTCCAAGTCCGCGAGCGCAAAAAATGGGATCTTAAAGGAGTTCATCTCCGCCATCGCTGCGAGATCGAGGAGCTCCTGCTCTGACAGAAACTGCGGCCGGGTCGCGTCTCGCGCTGCCACGTCAACGTCAAGATTCGTGCGCGCTGTAACCTCCTCATAAGTCTCTCGATCAGTTACAACGGCGTCTAGATTTGAGGTATTCGTTGATTTGAAGTGTGTGATGAGGTCCAGCTTCTTGATCTTTTTTTCATGTTGCTGCGTGATTCTCTTCTCCAGTTGTGAAGCAGCGCGCGTCAAGAGCCTCTGCCTGAGCAATTTTACACGTTCCCGCAATCGGTGCGCCAAATCTGGATCAGAAGCATCTTCAGCGTAGGTCACAGCAACATCTTTGAGTACCTGCTTAGCAACGTTCCAACTCGAAGCTTTCGCAGCCGAAATTGACACTAGCGCGGAGTTGCCTCGGACTTGGCACGCACCTGACTTCGCATAGGCCTCACCAAGAGTCATCGGGCCACTTTTCATCACTTTCCTCACCTCACGCAGGTGGTTATTCTGGAGGTATTTCGCGCACCAGGCTGTCTCGTTGACCACTGGAAAAGAACATCTACCACGGTGCCCCTTGGATGCGAATTTGTGTATTCGCTCGGTGAAATATATAGCCTGAGGCATGGAGAGAAGCATCCGCAAACAATCTTCGAGAGACTTGGAATAGCGGTCGGCAATCGTTGGCACAGTCTCGAGAAGAAGCTGCAGTTTAGCTGTGAGGCCAGCATCTGCGTCCTGGGGTCTGCATTGTCTCACATTCGCAAGAAAAGTTGGTAGATGAAATGTGCCACCAACATCGAACAAGGAGTACGGCGCAACACGTAGTCGAGAAAATGCGAAGACTTCTGCACTAGCCATAGCAGCCTCGATGGCATTCCCAATGCTGTGCTTCATCTGTACCAAACTACTCTCCGACAACTCGAAGAACGTCAGAAGCTTGTCCCAATCTGCAAAACGATGCTCAGCAGTCTCATGTAGAAGTTGCGCACGTAGTCCCGGGACGATGCGGATGTTATCATTATGCAGAAGACATCGCTCTGCTCGTTCGAACGGTATACCAAAAAACGCACCACCTACAACGGCATCTCGAAAGCGCTCATATGACATCCCAGCACCAAAAGCCTGCCTCAATAACCCAAGTCGCGAACACGTTTCCACCACATACTTCCCCAAGTTCCAATACCCCACTAGTAAAGACAGCGCGCACCTCCTCATAGTCTCTACAGCATTGCCAAAGCGCCCGAATTGAATCTCCCGCATGTTCAGGCGCAGAATCAAATCGATGACTTCGGCCTCCTGATCATATGGCACAGCACCTAGTAAAAACGGGCCATCACATCGTAGCTCCAGTTGTAGCTAGAAGATGTCCTATCAAATCCTCCGACTCAGGAGCAGCATCCTCGAGCAACGTCCTCACAAGAAGCTCGTAAGCGCCTTTTTGTTCGTCTGCTAGTGGTTGGAAGATGTAATACGTTGTTACCCACTTACCCACCCCCTCCCGGATCGCCTTCTTGCTCTTTCTGAAGCTGCGCGCTATGAGCTTGATTTGTTCTAGTTCCTCCTTCTTGGTGCACCACTCAGCGAAGCCAGACTCGATCGCGCCATGGATGTTGTGCCCCAAGCACTCGTCTGCCACCCAGAGGCTCATTAGCTGGCGGATGTTGTTGTTGTTAGTATTTTCCTGTCCGTCCGGCACATGCTGAAGTCCTCCATAGTGGCATAACACCCCCGAACTACCTCCATCACCACCATAATGCGAGAGCGTGAAACGCACCTCACCCACCTCGCCACCACTTGATCTAACAAAGTCCCAGATAGAAGGTAAGCGCTTGATTTCAGCATAAATCCTAATGTCTGAGTGCCCGTGCACCATGTCCTTAACGTCGGACGTGCGCCAATATCGCTGCATTGCAAACTCCTCCGCGCGCCCTTCCTCATCTAGTGCTTCACGAATAGTGGCATCATCCTCATCAGCCGGAGCAGCAAATGCCTGTAATATGGCGAGAGCGTCATGCATCAGCCAGTCTGCTTGAACAATACAGGTGAGAGGCGTCGCGTCGAATTCCGTGTGTGATGTGACTCCCCGCGAAGAAGGCACACCCGACAAGCGCATGCGGAGTACTCTATCCTCGCACGCCATCAGGGCAGGTTTTAATTTACGCCACGCCACCTCAAAACCTAGACCAAGTTTTTCTTCGCTGGAAGTCTCCGCCACCTCCTTTGCCGCAGAGTCTCCCAAGTTTTTGCTTAATGCTTTGATGAAGAACTTCATGTGCCGCCCTCTGTCGCGTCGAGTCGAACGCGGCAGCGACACGATGTCACGATAAGTCGCGACATCCAAAGGCAAGCCACAGAACGGCAACTTGAGGCCCTCCATGATTTGCCCCACTAGTTTCCAAATTATTTATAATACGACCATAAGCACAACTTTAAAAATCACTAAAAAAACGCCTTTCCTAAAAGCTAAAAAACAGCCCTGCGATAGGCTTTAAGAATTGCAAACAAATCCCCTCACCTCAAGCTCATGCTAGTCGAAGTCTTTCAACGGAAACACTTCAAACGAAATGTCCCATCAACAGACTTTTGGTCTTGCCACGTCTCGGGAACTCACGCTCTAAATCACAACAAAGGGAACACCAAAGCGGGATACGCTATCGAACACAAACGGCAGGGCTTGGGGGGTGGGGATGTCCTACCATCGCCACAAATTTAGCACAAATTTAGCACGACCGACGGCCGGGAGGCCCTCCGCCTGACCAATCTACCACGAGTGCGCGGATGTTTCCATCCTCGCACCCATGCGCGGTCGGACGCCCATGCATACGAAGGCGCCTGCCTCTCGCGTTCCTAGGTAGTGAACCAATTAAGAGCACACAATTAAGACATCTAAAATGGGGATGCGTCCCTAGTGGCAACACTACCTAGAAAGGCGTGTATCTCGCGTCTTTTAAAATATGGATAATTCCGGTACAAATATTCGATGGCGACAAATGTAGCACAAAGGCATCTCTAAAGGTTTCTCGTCGACAAATGTCGCAAATAAATGCACTTTCGGATTGTGGCTGGTCTGACCAATACACAATCAACACAAATGAGAAGTCAGACGCTATATGCGGACGACCTTGAGTACAATCCTGAATCTTGAGAGTCTTTGTGGCAAATCGGCCGTGAATCATGTGTGCTTGACAAAGAGAACAATGCTTATGAAAGACGGGCCAACTTGCCTTGATTTATGTAATTATGTAAACACGAGGCCATCTATCTTAAATGACCCCTCCGCCATTCTTCTACTCACATAGCGCAGGACCCAAATGCATCCTTTCACTCGTGTACTCCGTCTTATCCGAAAGATATTAAAGGAGTCAAGTGTCGATCTTTGAATCATGTTAACTTGTCGAGCGAATAGGTGAGAGATCAGACGCGATTTCCATATGCGATCAAACGAATGCTACTTAGTGGAGCGATCTCGAACCTCCTTTGTTCGATAAGATAGCGACTATTTGCATTGCCTTTTTTTCAGTAGGTCCTTCTTCAATAAAGATCTGGAGCTTCTGTCTCAGATCCTGAAAGCATTTTGTTTATGTAATGCTCTTTTGCACCCTTTTGGAGTGGGGCGATCTCTTCGCTCTCTCCTGAGCTATCTAGTCTAGCAGATCCGCACTCTCCGATCTCTAGGACGATCTCCTCTAGAGTGTGATCTTGATGCGGTCTGTCATAGCTCTAGATATGTCTCTCGTACGTGCTTGATATGGCCTTATCACGCCGTAAGATTGTTTTGGTCTCGCGATAGATGACGAAACCATACCTATTTCGAGTAAAATGAAAGAATTTTGATTATTTATGATTGTCAGTATGTTGGCAGACCCCCCCTGTAATTCGCGAATTAGTCGTCTCTATCAAGATAGATTAGATTAATCGCGGATTGCCTATATTCCGCTGCAGTTCGGCCGGAGAGTCTGGGCCTTGAGGGACGATTCCAAACAATAGTCTGCTAAAGACTATGCTTGAAGAACTACCAGTGAATATATAGTCTCAACGCCTCTCTTTGTCAACATACTTGGCCATTAGTTAATTGAGCGGACTTTTGGTAGTACTTATGGATGTGCATACGGAATTGTTAACATGAGTCAGCTCGTCTCTGTCCCCCCCCTGTGTTATAGATATGCTGTTCTTCGAAAGTCCACCAACTTCCTCCGAGACTCAACGCCAGTGTTGGGCCCAGAAGGTCTCTGCATCATCCAAGAGTGCCTCATGTAGGTAGTCCTCATCCCACCATGAGTGAGTGAAGCTCAGACTGGCACGCAATCCCATAGCATCTCCGTGAAATGATGCAATTGGGAGGAGCCAGCCTGACCAAGTCGCCGGACGTAGGATGAGCACCAGCTTCCGCGTATGCCCTGTGTGCTTGACGAGGGCAACAGGAGTCCAGCGAAAGTCAATGGTAGCTCGTTGACACACTCCGAAGTGTCTGCTCCGGTCCGTACTGTCTCGAAGGCTTGACGTCCCACGAGGGCCAAAAGCACGACGCAGCACCAAAACTCGACGAGGACTGGAGAGTGCTCTTGGAGCAAGGAGATGCGCCATGACGAATAAGGAGCAGCGCGCACGTGACCGTCGACACCTTGGTCGTCCTGATGGACTCCAAAGTCTCGCATCTCCTCACTCGGCGGCACATGTCGCTCCTGATTGTTGGCCCCATACCCCTGCACATTATTGGCACTTCGATCACAGTCCGAGCCATTCGAATTCTCCGACATTCCGATGTAAGCTTGCGCTAAACTCGGGTGAGGTAGACCGTAATAACTACTCCAAGTGATGACGATGCGACTTGTGACAAATGGCCCCGGATTGGTCAGAGCACGTCTGCGTCCCCAAAAATTACAGCGGAGCAGGCACTCTGACGCCAAATAGCGCGGTGCGCAAAAAACCCAAGTGAAAACCTTATGAAGGAAGAGACTCAGGAGTGTCGCCGCACCGAAGTCGCCAAATGATTCGCGGAACTGGAATCCCCTATCCCATAGTTGTGCGAAGACAAACCAAAAAGCAATGGACAGAAGAGAGAAAAGCTGATGGCCAAAAAGGAGAAACAAGTCCGCAATTGTCAAGAAGATAGAAGGAGGGAAATACAGAATATGTCGGAATGTCCTTTGAAATATCCCCGAAGATAGCACTAGAGACACAAAAGAGACCACCCAAATAGTCACAAACTGCGTATCCTCGTCCCGCATCGTCATACTTTCTGGTATGTTATATCCTACTTGAATATCCCGAAGTCTAACAGGAACCGAGAAACAGTTGGGTCGATTTTTTTTTTGTTCTCAATCCTGTATGATGGATATGCTTTATATTTTTTTTGTATTTTTGTACTTTAAATATTTATGCTCTGGCGATGCACTTACTTCGTGGAATCTTGCGCACGGTCGTGACGGATGCAACTCCACATCCTACTGCGTTATACACTATTAATAGCGCACCAACAAACAGGAGAAGGATTACATCAGTCCATCCAAGTCAGAGCGACATAGATTTTCTTTTCGACTATGCCGTGACTCTCTGGAAGTAGCGCATCAAAGGCGCAATTGATTTTGATATTACTTTGTGAAAGGCAAATCAGGAGCAGTACGATTGACAGGTCATTCCATTTCAAAGGATGTCAGAAGAACACGATAGAGAGCAGAACTGTCTGTGTGGCGAGACCAGTTCTCTATGATCAAAAGGCCAAAATCATGCTAGCGGCAGCTCCTCACGGAGATACAGGTAGCGTGGGTCTACTAGAAATGTAGGCATTGCACTGCTATAAATCTACCATACTTGCTGCGCCTCCTGACAAGGCAGAACTAACGCAGTGCTATAATACAAATATAACCCCGCACGCCTAAAATTCTAGGAAATGTCTGCTTACGCTGTAAAGATATATATAGACTGCCACTGTAAATATACTTTGCCCTCTTTATAATTACCCCCTAGGAGTCTCATTATCTTCAACGCCCCCCCTATCGCAATCGATAGAAAGAGTCTGGCGGTCGAAATTTCGTCGCGTCGTTCGAAGTCGAAGGCGCAGGCCGGGAACGTGGAAAAAATGCTGTTTGTTTCTCATATGGCATTCGGATTCGTCCGGTATCGCTTTTGGCGCTCTTCTCGAAGTGTGTCACTGCTGCTTTATTCGCAGCAAAGTAGTCAATTGCGAAGCCCGTTTTGTCCGGGCAGCGGAAAGCCCAAGTGCCATCCCCTTGTGTGACGCACGCTGCCGCCCGTCCAAGTAGACTGTCTTGAAGAGACTTTGTCTCACGCTTGCTACAAGACGGCGTCTCACGATCGTTACGTCTATGCAGGCAAACATGACATC